GAACGAAAAACATCGAAGAAAAAAAATCACGTGGCGCTTCGTGAAAAAAAGATGCGAGCATCGATGGCGGTGACGCCCGAGCCGCTTGCCCGTGAGTGCCGTGGCACGGCACTCTTGGAAGCGGTGTCGTTTACCTGGGCGGAGTGGTCGGGTGTTCTCCCCCCCACCCCGCTTCGCTCCAGGTGATCGTTTATGAGCCCCATTGTCCATTAATCACCTTTATGACTACAAAAGGTTTTGTAAACCGAACCTGTTCGGCCCAGCAGAGAGGAAGCCTTTGCAGGCAGCCTCCGAGGTATTTTCGAGCTGGCCAGGGCTTTCCTCCTCCGCCTGCTTCCCCTGCAGTTAAAGGGGTAATCGGCTCAAATTGCAGGGTGAGCCGCGAGCCTTTCATCAGGCGGCTGTCACGGGCGGCGCGCCCTCCCTCGCCTTCCCTCGCCCTCCCTCACCCTCCCTCGCCCTCCCTTGCCCTCCTCCCTCTCCTCCCTCCCCTCCCTCTCCTCGCCCTCCTCCCTCTCTTCCCTCTCCTCGCCCTCCTCCCTCTCCTCGCCCTCCTCCCTCTCCTCCCTCCCCTCGCCCTCCTCGCCCTCCTCCCTCTCCTCGCCCTCCTCGCCCTCCTCCCTCCCCTCACCCTCCTCCCTCTCCTCCCTCTCCTGCCTCTCCTCGCCCTCCTCCCTCTCCTCCCTCTCCTCCCTCCCCTCCCTCTCCTCCCTCCCCTCCCTCTCCTCGCCCTCCTCCCTCTCCTCCCTCTCCTCCCTCTCCTCGCCCTCCTCGCCCTCCTCCCTCTCCTCCCTCTCCTCCCTCTCCTCGCCCTCCTCGCCCTCCTCGCTCTCCTCGCTCTCCTCGCTCTCCTCGCCCTCCTCCCTCTCCTCCCTCTCCTCGCCCTCCTCGCGCAAGTAAACCGAGCGGCCCTTATCTGGAGGAAGCGCCGTGCAATTTAAATGAAACGGCGAAGAGGCACGCGGTCGTGATGCCCGAGATCCTCGGCTCACGAGGTTAGCTGCTAATGATGGTAAACACAGCGACGTAAGGCTGTCTGCAACGGCAATTAATTTCTCCCTTACAACATTAGCACACGAGTCCCTATCTGATTGTACACCTTGGGGTGTCCCCTAGCCCACTGTGTTTACACACGTTTCCCAAGCTGCTTTGCCTGTGCGTGTGTGCGCGTGTGCACGTACACGCGCGCGCGCGCGCGTGTACGTGTGTGTGTGTGCGCTTGTCTTTCTCTTTCTGCGGAGAGCGGTGGTGCAGCGGTTAACACTCCACGATGCAAACCCGGTGACCTGAGTTCGATTGTCGCTCACGGTCTACACCAGTGACGATTATCAGAATCCGTCCTGGGCCTCCCCTAGGTTGACTCAGCAGTGTGGTGTTTGCTGTGCCGGCCTTTATACGTGCTACTCGCTAACAGCACTCGCCCCAACAGTCTGTTAAGGCTATACGGGGGATCTTTATCTTTGTGTGCGTATAGCGCATTGCATGCAAGGGGGGAGCAGCGGTGCGTTGTTCACCGGCGGTGCCGCGTATCTCGTGGCCTGGGTTTAATAGCACGAGGCAGGTTATTGGACCTTGACCGACCGGGCCTTCCTTAGATTGACTGGCTGGACGACGGCTGCCCCGGTGTGAACGCTGCCCACGCCGCTCCTCCCCGTGCAGTGGGCAGCCTCGGCAGGCGCCCGTTATGAGCGGCGCTTATCCCAAAACGCCTTGAACAATTAACGGGGCAATCTGTGTCTTTTTCGCGCGCCCGTGTGTGCGCCCGCCAAAGTGCAGCATCGACCTAAACCCTTTATAGAAGCCCGACCCTGCCATTTCCTCTCTCTCTGCGCCCCTAAAACCCCTCTAGGCCCACGGTGATAAAACCTCGGCAGAGTGGCAGGGTGGTGGTGGGGGGGGGGCACCTGGGCGTTTGGTCCTTTTAATGGAGGGTGCGCGTGTGCGCGTGTGTGCGTGTGTGTGTGCGTGTGTGCGTGTGTGCGTGTGTGCGTGTGTGCGTATGCATCGCTGTGGCGCTCGCCCCTAAATCACGCCCGCTCCGCTCGGCCCGGTTTACCCTCGTCCTGGATCGATCCGCATGGACGCTGCGAGAGCTTCACGGGGCGGGTTCACGTGACAACTTTATGAATCGGCAGTGGCGGGTGGAGGAGGGTGTACGACACACTGTGTGCTTGCGCGATCCGAACCACAATAAAAACAATCCATTATGAACGACGGTGTTGGTCGCGAAGGCCCTCGCGCATCTTAAAAGAGCTCTCGGAGCACGGAGGTGGCGTCTTGCTTGTCCGATACGCGGTTGGCGCACGGCGGTCCGCGGCGTTGTTTCGAGGGTTGACGGCACCCGGCGGGTCCCGGGAGCCGGCGCCCGGGCCGGAGGCGTGCGCTCGCGCCGGACGGCACTGCGGTTCAACGATCGGTCCGTCGTCCCGGTCGGTTGGTGGCGGACGCGGGGGCCGGGGGGGGGGGTCCGTGCTCGCGGCGGGCACACCGCTCGCGTGCGTGGCCGGGTGTCGGTGCGACCGCGCAGCTACCGTCCTCCCGCGCGAGGCCCGGTCGTGCAAAGTTGGCCGGGGCACGCCGGGGCCGGCGTGTGTGTGTCGCTGCGACGTCGCCCCGCTCCGGGTTCATTCCGCAGCCCTCTGTCCGAGTCTTGATCAGAGCGCCACGCGTTTGCAAAGACAGTGGTCACCGCGTCGCGCGGCGCTTTCAGATGCCCTACTGCGGCCACCCGGAACGCTCTTTCCTTCCGATATTAGGAAGCCACTGGCAGCTGTGCACTTTCACATCGCCATCTAGATTGACAAACTCGCTTCTTTAGAACTGCTTGTTGTTGTGTTCAGTTAGTTGTCCTTCCCCCGCACCTCCGATGAGCATGGTTGGCTACGTATGGTGCGACAAAAGTTTAATATACATACGCGCGCGCTCACAGGCACCGGCTGTCACAGACGCTGTCAGTTCATCGACTTTGTTTATCCACTCCGAGAGCGCCAGGCGTTTGTGGTGAACGCGGCACGATAACGAAGGGTTCTGTGCGAGCACGTTTGCGATGGGATGTAGAGGCCATTGTTCCTTCATTAAGTTTCCAATGAGGATGTCAGCCGACGAGCGTTTTTGCCTGGCAGGATGTCTCCACCTGGTCGTTCGTAGACAGTGGAACTTGGGTCTCGTTAATTCTTGAACGCGCAGTGACAGTTGAATTCGCGGTGGTGCTCGCCCGTGGAGTTGGCCGCCGTTAACCTTTTCAAAGTTTGGCCTTGCTCATGCCGTCGGTCGGCTGACCTTTTCCGTGACGGTGTAGATTTTGCCTCCGCTGCTGGCTGGGTCAGGCTGCTCTGCACGATCGGTACGAATGATGCCGTGCAAGCGGACGATGCGGCGTGAACGATCGGGGGCCCGTGCCGACACTGCACGCGTGTTTCCCCCTCCGTTAACGGTGGTGCCGAGGAGAAACTAAATTGCCATCGTCGGATCGGAAGGAAGCCTCTCTGACCTGCCCAATAGGCCTGGACGAAGGTGGTGGGAAGGGGAATTGTGCCCACTGGCTATAAAATCGAAGGGTGCATTTAACGGGAATGCAACCGAAGCGCGCACCTTCCCGACGCCCCCCCTGGACGCAAAAGTCGGTAGCGTTGCGACCGCGGTCGTTTTTGTGTCCGTCGCCGAGAATTGTGGGTGAATCGACGGGGACGTGCCAAATGTTAATTGTTGCTCATTAGGCTGCGCTCGTAGATCCAGGGATTTCACGGTCTCACAACGGGACCCTAATTGTCTGGGCTGCCTCCTGCCACTGTGCGTACATCCCTCGATTGTGAATCCGTTTGTTTGTGTTAGTCGTGTTGATTTGGTGCAACGCGTTTCGCGGAAGGCTGGGCTCGCAAGGGCGATCTGTGCGCACAAGGCACCACCGACAACGCTTTATTAGCAGTAGCTTAATTGTTCCAAACAATATTTGCAATGTTTAATTTTAACGCAGAGCAGGAAAAAAGTACATCTGAAAGCGTGGACGGATGTTAATGAAACGCTCGCACTTGGTCGACGCCGAGATGGGAGAGCGAGCCCGCCCTCCCCAAGGTGAATAGTGCCGAAAGTGCCATCAATTCGGTGTCCGTACTGAGTGGCGACGATGTCAAAGAAAATCGAGATCGCTCAAATACCCAGAACATTCTGTAAACGTTCCTGTTTTTTTAAAAAAAAAAACAACGCAAGTTGGGGAATTGGGCTGTGGCTCCGTTGCACGAGCCGGCATCGGAGACTTGGACGAGCTCGAGACATAATTCGCTTTGCGTTAGGAGACCGTCAGGGCAGACAGCCTCGCTAGCGGTGAGGTGCGGCAGCAGCACCGGTGGCTTGGGCGATGATGGCGTTGAAGCGCTGTCCAATTTTTTTTCTTGTTCACCGCCTTCTACGAATGTGTGCCAACGCGGCCCACTGCCCATCGCCGCTGCTTTGCCAGCTGCGCTGCCCTCGGGTTCGACGCTGCCGCCGAAGCATCGAGGGTCTGCCTGCTCGAGCGGAGGTCGGTTCCTCCCCGTGAACGCAACGCGCGTGGGGCGCCCGAGTGCTGCCGAGCGAGGCCGCTGACCGCCACGGTTGATCCTCGGGCAGAAGCGGGGGAATGAGTGGCAGGGGGGGATAGTGAAGCACAGCACCGGGGAGGCAGAGGCGGGGGGGGTGCGGTGACGTTGATGCGACGCCGCCGAGGTGCCAACGTCGATGACCGTTGTTACTGCGCACCGTCCGCGTGACTCTGGCTGGGCGTGAGCGCACGCGACGCGACGCATGGAGGCTCTCGGACCGCGAGCGTTTCTGGGTGGCTGGGCGGATGGGGGGTCAGGGCGCTGAGATTCAAGAAACGCTGCCCCGTTGTTTCAAAAGTGCGGTAACGGGCAGCGTCGTGTGTTTTAAATTGGCGCGGGAATCTCGCTCGACCGCCGTGTGGACGGCGTGGCGACGATGGCCCCTGGTGTCTGACCGCAGGCGTGCTTGTGTCCTTCCGTCAGGCTCGGCGGCGCCGGGATTCACCGCACTGCGCTTCGTCACGGAGCCCTCGGACACGGTGGCGGTGCGCGCCTCTTCGGCTCGGCTCAACTGCTCGGCGCGGCCGGAGCGAGCGGGTGCCGAGGCGGCGCCGGGTGCCGAGGCGGCGCCGGGCGCCGCCGGCGAGGATGACGTGGGGCCCGCCGTGCGCGTGGAGTGGAAGCGCGACGGGGTCTTCCTGGCGCTGCCGCTGCAGGCCGAGGGTGAGCAGCAGCAGCAGCAGGAGGAGCGCAGGGTGGTGCTGGCGAGCGGCGCACTGCTGCTGCGCTCTGTGCAGCACGGGAGGGGCAGCCGCTCGGACGAAGGCCGCTACGAGTGCGTTGCCACGGCCCCTGGCATCGGCACCATCGTGAGCCGCGCTGCTCGGCTCTCCATCGCCGGTACGGGCACGCACGGGCACATGGGCACGCACAGGCACGCACGGGCACGCACAGGCACGCACGGGCACGCACAGGCACATGTGCACGCACAGGCACATGTGCACGCACAGGCACGTACGGACACGCACAGGCACATGGGCACGCACGGGCACGCATGGGCACACAGGGTCACGTACGAGCATGCACTATCCACACGTGTGTGTCATTGCGTTGGGTGTGCGGTACCGTATGAGGGTCATTTTGGTTGTAATTGTGCGTGTGTGACATTTAATGGGCAATAGTTATTTTCGTAGAATGTTGATTAAGAATGTTGAGCCACATTAGTCACAACGTCACGATGTGTTGCTGAACGGACGACATGGTTACCTCGTCACGGCAACTTGAGCAGCCACCGAGAACGCGGGGGAAGGGACGATGGGCGAGAGAACACGAGCGCAGTCGTTCCCCATGCGTGCGGATGCCCTTTCGTGAAGCCTCGAGCACTTGCGCGCAGGTAATTGCTCTCTCGGTAAACATTGCGGGGGGGGGGGGGGGGGAGTGCGGAATTGTGATTGCATTGGCTCACACCTCGAGACTGCGGAGAGCGGTTCAACTCTGCGGGAGCGTGGGCCGAGCGATCGTTCCTTCACGCGCGCGTTTCCTATGCCGCTCTTTCCCTCGCCCATTGTTGCATTGCACGGCCACGGTCGGGCGACGCAATGCAGCGCGGCCGGACTCGTCGCCCGCAATGAACGCCGACGGCACAAACATCCGGCCGCTCGCATTTTGGCAATGATGGACAAACACAAGAGGTCTTTCTCCTTTTGCTTTTTGGTTTGTTTGACGAGAGCCCGGCACAAAGCAACGAAGCTTCAACGAAAATTGCGCGGACCGAAGCCCAAACTCGCTGCTGCTGGGGTTTTTAGAGAAGGGGGTGGGGGAGAGACATTTGGGCTCGCCCATCGGCCTCGGCTCGGTGTCAAAGCCAGGCACCGCGTTCGGACACGGTGCCGGCCGCCGGCAACGCGTCGCCGGATCCGTGTAAACGGAATCGATGAGTTCATTTCCTCGCGCTTTACAGCGTGTGTCGGTGCCACCCGCGCCCGTCTGCCGAGCTGCGGTAATGACGTCTCATTGTATTGGCTGATAATTAATCTTATTCTGCAGACGAGGGAGGGGACGCGAGCGGTCGATAGCGCCCACGGGCTCCCACCGCGCGCGCGTGCGCTGCCGTTGGTTAGCGGAACGTTCGGATTCACCACCGCCCTCGCCCGGCCAGCCCCGTCACCCCGGCCTTCTTTAGAATTACAAATTCATCATCATCAGCCATGATCAACCTCCCCCGCCCACCCCTCCAATCCGTCATCATCTCTCACACTCCTGCGATGTGACAATGTGCATTGCACACCTGCACAACGCCAATTCCATCGCTCCATCTCCGTGGTGGACGTGCTCTTGGCCCGGCACTCCCCACCCCTCCCCCTCTCGGCTACCGCTCCTTCAAGACTCTCGCACACCGGCCACCATTATCTCTTCTAGCCACGTGGCTTGCTGCCCTCGAACTTGTTTGTTGGAGGGCGGCATTCACTCAGCAAACCTTGGTTTGCCACTGCAAAGCACCGTCGACAAAACCGGGATGTGACTCCTCGCGGCGCCGCGTAAACACAGCGCAAAATATCGCTCGAGCTCCAAGCTGACACGAAGACAAAGACCCGCCGTGGAGCCTACACACGCTGTTGGGGCAAGTGCTGTTAGCAAGCAGCAGCTGTGAAGGCCGGCAGTGGTGCATATAAGACACGGTGTGACCAGGACCACACCCGGCCGCCTCTGCCTCCCACCAATGTACGTATGTTGAACTTCTTTTGCACCGCACGCAGCTAACCGTGCTAACCGGAGGTGCGGGGTAGACAAGAAATTGAACCCACAAAAAAGCAAAGGTTGATCGACGGACGCCCCAGCCGGGGCGGTCAAAGGGGAATCGCAGGGTGCAGCGGAGCGTCGCGTTAGCGCTTGACAGAGCCGCGATTGGTCTGCGCGTGCCAAACAGAACGGGGAGCGCACGCTCGAGAGAATCTCCCCCGCCGGCCCCGATGTGGCGGCGGAGTGACGGGCGGCGGTGGCGACGTCGGAGGGGGATGGGCCGGGCGGCTCGAGGGGCGGCATCGCGGCGCTACGAGCGAAGCTGCGGCCGTGACGATCGGCACGGGGCGCCGGCTCGCGAGGCGCCTCGTGTTCCCCCCATCGGGGCGTTCAAACCGCCCAGTCAAGGGCGGCCACCGCTGGCTGCGCTGTCAACCGAGGGGGTTTTAAGTCGAGCTTCCTCGTGAAAGCTACGCCAGTTGTCGCTTCTTAAATCTCGAGCAGAGGTCACGACGTTTAATGAACCGCAAGGGGAGGGGGGGGTCGTGGGGGGGGGGGGGGCGTGTTCAGGACTCGGAGAAGCAGCAACAGCGGAGAAGGTGCGACCTCTCCTCGTGCAGAGGCTCATGGGAGGATGGGAGAGCAGAGCGAGCGGGAGGAGCGAGCGCGGGGAACAATAATCGGGCAAAGCCGTCGGGCACGAGACGACGTCAGCGCGGGATGTTTGGAGACGGCCAGGGAGGTCGTGGAGCGGATGCGCAGAGGCCAGCGAAGGCACCCAGAGAAGCAGCGGGGTCCTCTCCGCTGCTCGCAGTCAGGCGGCCCAGCAGGAGCTTTCCACGCCACGCTTACTCGTGGAGAAGGGGTGTCGGGTTTGCGGCGAGGAGAGGGAGAGCGGACTGGCCGCTGCCGAGGGCTGCGTTTGTCAGCGCAGAGGAGCCGCTCCGCTCTGCAGCTCTGGGGGAGGGGTGGGGGGCACAGCGTGGGGATCGTAAAATAATAATCGGGGGCACAGCCGAGGGAGGGTGCAGCAGAAACACGTGGGCCCTGGAAGGAGCAATAAAGGCAGCTTGCAGAATCATTGCAGGGAAAGTTGAAAAAAAAACCGTTGCCGATAGAGCTTATGGGGGTCTGTGAGGGCGGCAGGTGAAAGGTCACGTCCTGCAGTTGGCGGTGTGGTGCGGTGCTGTGCCGGCTTGACTGGCGCTTTCCGCTTGCCGTGGAGGATTCTCCGACGCGCGGTCGCGCAGCGGGCAGCTTCCATTTCGGCGAGTGAGCAAATAGGCGAGCGCAGCGGCGTTTACGTTCCAGGAAACACGCAGTCGGTCGCGTGGCTAAATTGTGGCGGGATTTGCACGGGGTGCACAATTTGAACGCGCGAGTCGTGCGAGACCTCTATTGTAAATCATCAAACCTCGGCACGGAGGTAGTTATCCTCAATGATGACAATGGGGAGGAGGAGGAAGTGGTGGGTGCAGGGCAGGTGCAGTGCAACTCAAACAAACAAACTACAAACATAGATGGACTCGTCCCTCTGAACAAACTGTCAAATCTCTCTCCGTGGTGCTAACGTTATAAATAACCGGCACTTTTTTCAAATTTTCTTGTTGTGGTTTTCACACCTGATGATGATTGCTTGTGTTGCAGTCGAAACGTCGTGAGAATTTTATTGTTTTATATTTTTATTATTTTATTGTTTCCCTTCTACGTGACTTTACCGACAGAACCAAGAATATGAATCCCTGCAATCACGGAAGCTTTAAATCAAAATTTAAACTACAAACTGTTTTTATTTTACCATATAAGGCCCCACTGAGCTTATAAAGCTCTCTTTCAGATGCGACCTGGCTATCACAAATGATAGCACAACGATGTGGCTTACAATGTGGAGATTTGTCGCAGCCAAATACTCTAAACGTGTGTTTATAAATGTGGAGGGAAAAACCGGAGGACCCGGAGAAAAATCCACATGACCACGGGAAGAGAGAGACATGCAAACTGCAAATATACAATCGTCAGGGTCAGGATTGAACCCACGACCTCCTGTATCCCAGGCGAGGTAATTAACATCTCGCCACGTGACTTTGTGAGACGCTCGGTTTCTGACAAACTCCCACCCTGTGCGCATGAACACTGAAAAGGCGACGTTAGCAGTTAATAATTTAATTATTATGTGGAGGTGAGGCTTCTCCCCCCACCGTCTGGCGCTGGTGGAGCTGGCACGCTCCCACGGTGGAGCTGCCACGGCGCTTCCTTTGGGCCCAGGCCGCCATCGCAAGGCCCCGCCGAGTAACCATGGCGACGACGATGAGGACGATGAGGACGACGTTGCGAGGCAGCGTCCCGGAGGGGCGTCTCCCTCGCGAGCGTCCCGCTCGTCAATATCTACCCCACCCCCCCACCTTGTTAAAGAGTCGGGGGTGGTTGTCCCACACGTTGGGATGTCCACCGTCTTCGGCGTGACCGTCGCCGAAAGATGAGCGCCGAGGCGCTGGGACGCCGCGTGGCAGGAAACTGGTCAGGCGGCCCACAACGCCGACTTGGCGAGAGCGACCGCTCGTCCCGAGAGCGTTGCCGCGCGGTGCCGAAGGCGCGGCGCGCCGGCCGAGGTATCCCGCGGTGTTCGAGACTTTTCGAACGGGGGCCGATCTTTGCAGATTGCAATCGGCAAGCTATATACAGTCGAGCAAAATGTAACGTTGAAACGGGTGTTTTTGTTGGGTTCCCCAGAGTTGCATAGCAGCGACATGCAATACCCCGGTAACTCGAGTCCCGGGCTGCAATAACACCGCGCTGCACCAACCCTCGCGCTCCTCCGTTCCAAAGCTGTTACAGGAGCCCGACCTTTTTTATTGTTTTTTTTTTTAAGTGGCGGAGAAGATGAATGCGCCCCGCGTGCTAGAGTTACATTAGGCGGGCAGGAATTTTCTGAGCAACGGAATCTCACTCAACTGAGCAAACACAACCTTTTGCCGTGAAAACTCCCATCCCCTCTTCTCCCCTTCGAGCCACCGTGGCGTCGCCCCCCCCCCCGCCCGCCCGCTCCCCTCCCCCCCACCGCTCCCCACCGCAGCCGCCTCAGCGCCCGCCTCCCATCAACCGCCATCCTCCCGTGTTCCGCCCGCCCGTCCGCTCTCTCGCTCTCAAGAATGCCACAGAGACCGGCGTGATGGATGAGCAGCGCCCGCCTTGCCCGCCCGCCTGTCCTCCTTTCCGCTCCCCGCCCCCCCGCCTGCCTGCCTGCCATGTGAATGCGCCCGCGTTTTCCCGAGGCCCGATTTCGAGCGCTCGCTTTCCACTGCCCCCCCGCCCCCCCCCCCCCCCCTCGCAATCTCCTTTTTTGACCTTGAACGTATTTTGCAAATTAACGAAGCCGATTTGAACCGCCGACTACTGTGAGACAATTTGCGAGCGTGTCGCCCCGTGCCGCCGCCGGCGACGGAGATCAAGAAGGGGGGGGGGAGGGGGCTGGCAGAAGCGTCGCTCTCCCTCGATGGTTGAATGTCTCCGGATATGTCGATGATTGCCGGAGCGTTGAAGTCGCGCGCCATGAGAATGAGCGCCGCCGTGCGTCTTCGAGGTTCCGCCGGTGTGCACGCGGCTGCACCGTGTAGCGAGCAGCCCTCGGGAATTATTTTCGGTGCCGGGATAAACGGAGGCTTTCCGTGGCAGAGGGGACGACGCTCGTGCGCGGGGACTTTTAAAAACGCAGAGTCGACCGCAACTCCCCCAGACGACTTTGCGTGGACGCTGGGCTCTTCCCCCGCGCCAGGGCCCTCTATCGATGAGACGCAAGCACACACGCACCATTGCCTTGCTCTGCCTCGGGGTGACTGTTGGTGTTGGCCCAATGCATGCTCATCCACCTTTGTTTTGTGACGCTGAGTGACGTGAGTGGTACTGAGTGATGCTGAGTGACGCTGAGTGACGTGAGTGACGCTGAGTGATGCTGAGTGACGTTGAGTGACGCTGAGTGACGCTGAGTGACGTGAGTGACGCTGAGTGACGCTGAGTGACGCTGAGTGCCGTGAGTGACGCTGAGTGAAGTGGGTGACGCTGAGTGACGCTGAGTGACGCTGAGTGTCGTGAGTGACGCTGAGTGACGCTGAGTGACGCTGAGTGACGCTGAGTGACGCTGAGTGATGCTGAGTGACGCTGAGTGACGTGAGTGATGCTGAGTGACGTGAGTGACGCTGAGTGACGTGAGTGACGCTGAGTGACGCTGAGTGACGTGAGTGACGCTGAGTGTCGTGAGTGACGCTCAGTGTCGTGAGTGACGCTGAGTGACGTTGAGTGACGTGAGTGACGTGAGTGACGCTGAGTGACGCTGAGTGACGCTGAGTGACGTGAGTGACGCTGAGTGACGTTGAGTGACGTGAGTGACGTGAGTGACGCTGAGTGACGTGAGTGGTACTGAGTGACGCTGAGTGACGCTGAGTGACGCTGAGTGACGTGAGTGACGTGAGTGACGTGAGTGACGCTGAGTGACGCTGAGTGACGGTGAGTGACGCTGAGTGACGCTGAGTGACGTGAGTGATGCTGAGTGACGTGAGTGACGCTGAGTGACGCTGAGTGATGCTGAGTGACGCTGAGTGTCGCTGAGTGATGCTGAGTGACGCTGAGTGTCGTGAGTGATGCTGAGTGACGCTGAGTGACGTGAGTGATGCTGAGTGACGCTGAGTGCCGTGAGTGGTACTGAGTGACGCTGAGTGACGCTGAGTGACGTGAGTGACGCTGAGTGACGCTGAGTGACGCTGAGTGATGCTGAGTGACGCTGAGTGACGTGAGTGATGCTGAGTGACGTGAGTGACGCTGAGTGACGCTGAGTGGCGTGAGTGACGCTGAGTGACGTTGAGTGACGTGAGTGACGTGAGTGGTACTGAGTGATGCTGAGTGACGCTGAGTGACGCTGAGTGACGCTGAGTGACGTGAGTGACGCTGAGTGACGTTGAGTGACGTGAGTGGTACTGAGTGATGCTGAGTGACGCTGAGTGATGCTGAGTGACGGTGAGTGACGCTGAGTGACGCTGAGTGACGTGAGTGATTATGAGTGACGTGAGTGACGCTGAGTGACGCTGAGTGATGCTGAGTGACGCTGAGTGTCGCTGAGTGATGCTGAGTGACGCTGAGTGTCGTGAGTGACGCTGAGTGACGCCGTGAGTGCCGTGAGTGGTACTGAGTGACGCCGTGAGTGCCGTGCGTGAGTATCGTGCTGAGCTCGAGCCTCCTTGCCGTACAGGAGCGGTGCGCGTGGCGGCCGGCCCGGGCCACGTGTCGGTGCACGCCGGCGACGGCGCGGTGCTGCCGTGCGAGGTGAGCGGGGAGCCACGGCCGTCGGTGCGGTGGCTCAAGGACGTCGGGGAGCCGGGCGCGGCGCTCCGAGTTGTACCGCTGCCAGATGGGGCCCTGCAGATCTCCCGCGCCGAGCCCACTGACGCCGGCACCTACCGATGCGTGGCGGAAAACGCGGCGTTCTCCCGGACGGGCGACGACATCCGACTCACGGTGGTGCCTGGTACGACGCGGGGGGACGTGGTGTTTGAGGTCGCCGTCAGCATCGTCGTCATCATCGTGGTCGTCGTCATAATCGTCGCGGTCGTTAATCACAACCAGCAGCAGCAGTAGCAGCAGCGTCAGCAATAGCGGTTGCATTCGCAACAGCTTCTCAAGCTGATGAAGTTGTCTGAAACTTTGCAGTAAATCCCACCATGTACGTTTTGTGCGCGTGTTTATTTGCGCGTGCGCGCGCAGAGCCGGGCGTCGCTCGGCGGGCCGCCTTCCTGCGCGTGCCCAAGGACGTGGAGGCGCTGCTGGGCCAGGCCGCCATGCTGGAGTGCTCGGCCAGTGGGTTTCCCCGGCCCACTGTCCGGTGGGAGAAGGGAGGCAAGGCCGTGCACGAGAGGTGGGACGCCCAGCCCTGGCGGGGGGCCACACTCGGCGCTCGTAGGGCCCCGCTGCCTTTGGGCGCTGTGAGGCCACGGGCACGCGACGCCCGGTCCACGTGGCGCGCCCGCCCGTTATTCGGTGCCGCGGTGGCGAGATGTTGACTACCTCGCCCGGTGCGCAGGAGGTCGTGGGTTCGATCCCGGCCCCGACGCTTGTATGTTTTCACCGTGGTTGCGTCGATTTTTCTCCAGGTCCTCCACATTTAGAATCAACGTGCGTTGTAGAGTATTTGGCTGCTATACATTTGCACATGATAAGCCACTTAATTGGGCTATATAGCTCAGTAAGCCTTACCTGGTAAAATAAAAACAACTTTTAGTTTTATTCACAGTGACTCCGAGAATGACCCTCCCCTTGACCTGATAGTCCAGCATCAATCCTGGGGTCACTTGAACGTTTTTTTTTTCAACCCAAATATGTTGAAAGCGTTATCTTGTACACCTTCTAAGGAACACCCACGGTATGCTGAATGCTTAATGGGATAACCGCTCGGCGGAAAGTCGACAGCTGCTGTCGTATGGATAGACGCGGCCCCGGCATAGCAATGTGGAACCCTCATCAGATGGTCTCTTTAGCCGGCGGCCGAGATGGCACCACAGCTCATGAGACGCTGACTGGCGACGGTGGAGCGGCTGGCACGGCGGTGGCGGCGGTGACGGCACCCACTGATGCCAAGCGCTCAACGCACCCCCCCCACCCCACACCCCCCACCCCCCCCACCCCACCCCCCCACCCCCCACCCCACCCCCCACCCCACCCCCCGCAGCGAGCGCGTGAAGGTGGCGGGCGGGGGCCACCTGCTTGTGGAGGTTGTGACCCCGGGGGACGCGGGACTCTACTCCTGCACCGTCGGGGAGGGCGCCGACACCATGCAGGCCAGCGCCGTGCTCACCGTACACGGTGAGCCTCCACCTCCTCCTCTTCACCCAGCCTCCTCCTCACCCAGCCTCCTCCTCCTCTTCACCCAGCCTCCTCCTCACCCAGCCTCCTCCTCCTCCTCACCCAGCCTCCTCCTCCTCACCCAGCCTCCTCCTCCTCACCCAGACTCCACCTCCACCTCTTCACCCAGCCTCCTCTTCACCCAGCCTCCTCCTCCTCCTCACCCAGCCTCCTCCTCACCCAGCCTCCTCCTCCTCCTCCTCCTCACCCAGCCTCCTCTTCCTCACCCAGCCTCCTCCTCCTCACCCAGACTCCACCTCCACCTCTTCACCCAGCCTCCTCCTCCTCCTTACCGAGCCACCTCTTCTCTCACACCCTCACTGCCCAATCCTCCCTCGCATTCACACAGCCGCCTCCTGACACAGACAAAGACGGAGATTCCCCATGTATCCTGAACAGGCTGGTGGGACTTGTGCTGTTAGTGAGCACCTATGAAGGCCGGCAAAGCAACACGAGGGGGTTGGTGGCCAGCACTATGCCCGCCCGCCTTTGTCTCCATAATGGCGATGAGTCGACCTTATTAGAGGCTAGGGGGAGGCCCTGGTCCGGTTTAGATAATTGTCTGCACATGTGTACACGTACGCACATGCACACACGTCACCGTGGCTACCGGGTCTAGCAGAGGGAAGGAAGCGATGGCGCGGTGTGATGGCGTCAGCGGTGGGGAACGTTGTCCTGTGGTTGAAAACAGGATTTTCAAATATCCTTAGCGGTCAGCCACACACACACCAAGGTCACTTCTGTGGCCGCATGAGGTCCGCGCGGTGAAGGAAGTGACTGTGGGTTGTTTCCAACAACCGTAGGTTTCCCCCGCCCCTGATCTGTAACCTCACACGCCCCCTCCCCCCCCCCCCATTTGTGTTGTGCCGCTTCGTGTGACGCGGTCAGCCGATTCAAACGTTGCCAATTTCCCATTTTAGCCTCTTCGTCATCGAAAAAGACAGAAAGTCGTGGAATCGTGACTACCTTCTGTTTGTTTGTCAGCACGCCGGCTGCTATAATTTTGAACCGATTCTTGGACAGGAACCTGTAGGGAACCGTTTTGTCAGGCAACGCGCGGTCATGGCTGGGTTTGGCGCACCGAGGCACATTAATCGTCCGTCGCGGCAATCGATGTCCTGATCGGCTGCGTCATTGTACACGCGGGGTGTGGGGGGGGGTGTTGATCGCAACAAACGCGGGCGTGTGTGAAGAACACGAGGGGTCCTTGGATTTGGGGCTGACACAGTCTAGGGTCGTGGTGAAGCATGCAAATAAGCATGCTCTGATTAATATACGCATTAAAGGAAGGCTGTCTCTGGTATAGGCCAATCACTTTCAAAGACAGTGCATATATTATATGAGCATGCTTGTTTGCATTGTTTTGCCACAAATATGTGTGGTTAATGCAGACTTGATGCCTTGCAAAAGGGTATCTAGTTAGTGTTTGAACATCATTAACTTACTACTGTTTTATTTCCAGAATGGGTAAAAACCTATCCTTGCTTTTTTTTCTTCTCATCATTTTGATACTGGCAAAAACGGTCCCGTAGATAATGGGTATTTAGGAAAAATTGTATTCAATAGTCTTCGAAGAGCTCAATCCAAGTGGACAAAGCCCTGAGTGGGTTGGCGACCTCGCCCCCGGCATGTCACTTGGCTATCTCCACCGCCATTTCAGTTGAATGTCATCACGCAAATTGAATCCCTCGCGAGCAATTTGGCGCGCGATTGTTCACCAATATTACAGCGCGTTACGTCGGTTCGTTAGCAGCTTTTATCTATATAAACGCAATTATTGGGTATAAGTTGCCGCTCAATGTTGCCGAATTTAATCGTGTGAATGAAATTGTTGCGCGCACGTCTGGCTTCCCGCTGTCGGGGTTCCCGCCCCCCCCCCCCCCCCCCGTCGAAGACGATGTTTTGAGAGAAACATTTTAAAATACCGCACTCTCGTGGCAACCCAAGTTTGAGTTCCGTTCGTGGTCTCTCATTCCCGATGGTGCTCCACGCGCGCCGGCTCATTCGCCGATCGCGACAGCAGTGGCAGCCCGGGGTTCGGTCGACACCGGTGACCGCGGTGGCCCCATTACCGTGAGCGGTGCGGTGTCAGAATTCTCCGCTGGGTGCTCAAAGTTGGCCGGCAAGCGAGAGAGCCTTTAGCGATCTCGTCCGTTATAGGAATTGACGAGGTGGAATTGATTACGAGGATAATTGTGACTGATGGTAATTGTGATTAGCACAACGATGAATAATAGTTTGAAGGTTTGATGATGATGATGATGGCGATTAAGGTAACTGTAATGATGGTAATAAGGAGAGTCATGGTGAGGACGAAGATACGGATATTGGTGAGTTTGCTTTTGGTGATGAAGGTGATGAATGATTCTGGGTCTCAGAGTCCCAAGGAGAGACTGCCCGTGAGTCATGAGAGCCCATTAGTAGCTCGTTCTCCCATTAGAATTCTCGCAGCTTAAAAACAGGGTGCTTCAAAATGTTTTGAATACTTCAGAGAATTTGCAACAACACTGCAAGAAATGTGCTGCTGCCTCCGGGCTCTGGAGACCACCTGGAGAAGGTTCCAGGCACGCGTTGTTGACAATGATGGCGAACAAGTGGGAGACTTTTTGAAGATATTAACATTACATTCGGCATCACGTTACAGTGCATCATCCATTCTTTTTCCATCAAAAACGATAGTCCCATATAAGTGTTAACATTTTTTGAAGCACCCTGTTTTCCCCGTCCCACCGCACGTTTCCATCTCAAGGGCAACTCTCCGAGGCCTGCCTAGGAAGGCCCACAACAAACAAACAAAAATGTCCGCGCGGCCCGAGCGATCGCTTTTCATTTCTGTTACCGACCCCGCTGCACCGTCGTTGTCTTGGCCGGTGCCGGCCTCCCAGGGTCCCTGCCTCCATCAATTATTTACTCCTCGCGAGTTCATTGGGGACGCCCGCTCAGGCCGCTCCCTCCGCTGCCCCCCCCCGCGCTCGGTCCGGAGGAAACCAGCTGAGCACTTTGCGAGCGGTGCGTGCGCTTTTGCGAGACGCTGTTTTTTTTTTTAAACAAAATAAAAATCAATAAATTAAATTCCACAGCTGGCAATCGCGTTGTGCGGCACCACCACCACCACCCCCACGCACCGCCCCCGAATCTACAGGATGCCTGAAAGCCGCTGCTACCGCTACTGCCGCTTAAGTAAAGGTCATTAATTAGGTCGCACAGCATGAGCCCTGGAGCCAAAAGGTTCCTGAATTAAAGATGTGACGCGGTCGAGTGTTTTTGTTAGCGCTGCTGGTGATGGTGGAGCTCACTCGCAAATCTTAGAGGCGGAAGAAAAATGAGCGGTGTCGCGAGTGAGGCTACGGAGGGGGAGATGGACGTTTATTGATTCTCCTGTCCAGTATTCCTTCGGGGTTAATGAGAAGATTAGAGAACGTTAATGCGGGGTGGAGGGGATGGTGCTTGTGCTGCTCGTGGGGCCTCCAGGACAAAGAGGAATTTTGTTGTTCCCTTAACCCAGGAGATGAAATAGAAACATTGGGATGCTTGAAACAACAAATGTACATGTATGTGTACATGTACATGTATGTACATGTGGACATACATGTATGTCCATGCTCCTCCGCGGGCAAATCTCCGCAGGTTGGCAACCGTTCAGGAGTGGCTGGCGCTGCTCGTACGCACGGGGCACAGGCTCCATGGCTCCAGTGCATCTGGGCAGCCCTGGCATCTTGCCTCGTGCCAGCCACAGCCACATGGGCATTTGAAATCAACTCTGTCGATGCGCCCATTTACGATCGCAACTCTCCTGGCTTCGTGCGTGCGCTAATGAGCAGCAGTCGCCTGAAGATCTTTCACTATGTCGCTGAATTATAAACAACCGCTGGCGTGGTGAGCGGGTAGTCTTACGACGAGCAGCCTTCTTGATGTGAATGACTGCATTGAGACAGGCCTTGCATTGCTGTGCTCGTCAGCTGCTCTGTGCGTGGATCCCGCCACGCACCGCTTAACTAGCTAAGAGCAGGAGCATCACGGTAAGTAAATGCCCTTATGTCTATAACTGTTTCACAAGAACGCTATTATTCAGCGTGGATAATGTGACATTTTCACGACGCGATTAGCTCAATGCAAAGCATTGAATGAGAATGTTTTGCATGATGGTCTCGCTCACAGGCCGACATCAAGTGCAGACTCTGATAACACGGTAGACGGCGTGGGTCTGAACGGTCGCGCGTGGCGTGCCGGTGAATGATGCGAACGCCGCTGTCCCACAGCTCCCCCGCGGTTCTCCTTCCCCCCGCGGGACGCGCTGGCGCACGAGGGGGCGGACGTGGAGCTGCCGTGCGGCGTGGAGGGGAACCCCGCGCCCTCCATAAAGTGGCTTAAAAACGGCGACACCGTCATTCCCGGCGACTACTTCCACATCGCGGTGAGAACCGCGGCCCGTGGCCTTCACGCCCCCCCCCCCCCCCCCCCCCTGTCAATCCGCGGCCGGGCGAACGCCTCCCCACGACGTGTCTGTCGGAGGGCTCGATTGACCATCACACTGGTCACCTTGCTGGTCATTGCGGGTTGGTGAAGGGGGCGGGGGGGGGGGAGCCCCGGAACCGGATTCGATGTTGCTCGCAAGGGAGCAAATTCGGGGTGCCGGGTGCATCGCGTCGTGTGTGCCAACCGTACCGCCGCCACTCCACTGCGATCAATATTAATTGCCCTCAATCCAGGAGAGTCTGACTCATTGTGCAGACTCTAATTGGGCTGCTGGGCCAATTCGTTGTCGGTGTTAACGACCTGCTCCCTTCCGATGCTGCAACGCGCTCCTGACGCAGCGGGCGGTCTCATGTCGTGGAGACCTTTGCGACCCCGATTTTGACCACTTACACTTGCATCTGTTTGGCGATTGTTATATAATAATTATATCAATAATAATATAACCATAATAATGAGTGTAATTACACCGTGAAAATGTCACGTAAATAATTCAACTAATAATAGTTAAGATAACAGCAGTAATTATAATCATCGTAATATATGATATTAACACACATGGGACAGGCACGGGCAGAATTCCCTCGCCACCCATCGTCCGCGCAGAGCCCTTGGCGACGGAGCAAGCAGGTTAGCGAGCCCCTCGCCCGCTCGGCACCGATATGTTCGCGGCCGTGCCCGCGACTCGAGCGGAACGTGCGAGGGAGAGACGCGGGCCTCGTTCGTTGACGGTTTCCGCCGCCGCCCCGGTCTAGGAGGAGCACACGCTCAAGATCCTCGGCGTCGTCAAGTCGGACGAAGGGATGTACCAGTGCATCGCGGAGAACGAGCACGGGAACATACAGGCGGGCGCGCGGCTCTTCGTCGCGGACAGAGGTGAGTGAGTCGCGGCCGTGGCACCTGGGACTGTCGGGTCGCAGTACGGAGGGGGGGAGGGGGGAGAGGCGGCGGAGGTTAAGAAGGGATGAGTCTAGCCGCGACCCTTTGTGCCGCGGGACGGAGATTCATCTGGACGCGACGCCGCATTTATCTGACTCTCAAATAGCCTGCTCGACGATGAGGCCTGCACCGCTTCTGCTGCTACAAAAAGAAAAATGCGGCAACAAATGGCGGCTTAATGGCGTGTAATTGTGCCTCCCGGAAAGTCAAATTGCGAGTGCTTAATAGCTTTTAAGAAATGGCCATTTCAAATTCTTCGTTACAGAGTGGCTCGCGCAAAAAAAAAGGGGGGGGGGGGGGGGGGAGTTGAAACAACATCGCAATAAAGGACACGTGACCCGTCGTCGCTCGCCACATTTGCGGCTACCGCGGGGGTGTGTGCGGCACGAACGCAAACAACAGCGCCTCTTCACGGCGGTTGCACTCAAGTCGTGGGTCCCCTCCCCCACCACCACCACCACCACCACCCCCCCACCCCCATGAGCCGGCCTGGCGAAGGCGTTTAGAATTCTTTAGCTTCGGAGGAAACGGCCAAGACCGATAACTTGGAGAGCAAATTAAGGAAGTCTATCGGCAGCAATCAGGGTTATGGGAGGAGCACTGGGAGCCAGACTGCACAGCTGCTTTGCTCTACATGCAACAATGAAAGTGCGATCTACAGCTGCGGCCATCCCACCAGTCCTTGCAGGCATCCCTCTCTCTCGCGCGGGCTCGCCGATGATCGCATTTACCCGTGAATCCGGTGATGGCGTTCAACGCGTAATCACGTTCAACACGCGATCGCTCGACGTTAAATTGCCCCGTCCGTGGGAATGGTGTGAGAGCCGACTGGGCGCGGAGAAATACCAATCCATGCCTTCGATGTCACGGTTTGGGTTCGTGTCTTGGGATGGCCGTGCGGGATCTGTTTTGGTTTTTGGGATCGCGTCCGTGTCTGCGTGTGCGTGTGGGGATCGGTGTGCACATAGCCTGGCACAAGCGCCGTGGTGACGTCACCTCCACCGAGTGGCGAATGGCGGTTGTTGTTGTTGTTGTGGGGAGCGGTGGCGCAGCGGTTAGCACGCCGCGCTGCAAACCCGGCAACCCCGAGTCCGATTCCTGTTCACGTCCGACACCGGTGACGATTTTCTGAACCGGTCCTGGGTCCTCCCCTAGGTCCGCTCGCCCTCAAACGAGTAACCAGTGTGGCGCGTGGTAAACGTCGCCACTGGGGAGACAAAGGCGGCCGGGCGTGGTGCTGGCCACCCACCCCCTTGGCGCGCCGCCCTCCGTAGGTGCTACTCGTGAGGACGGCACCTTGTCCGAACCGCCTGTTCCAGGCTACACGGTGGAGGGGGGGGGGGAGCCTTTGTCTTCTGAGCGCAGGCTCTCGCGTTGGGCTTGTTCGTGTGTTCAGTTTTAAGAAGGGGAAGGAAAAAAAACACTGCGGTGGTGGCGGCGGCGGCGGCGAAGGAATGCGGCGGCGCTTCCTGGCCGCTGCTGCTGCTCGCAGGGCGGCGGGCGCTGTGTGTGGGGGGGGGGCGGGGGGCTTGGTGCGGTGGGGGGGGGGTTACGCCGTGTCGCCCCCATTAGCTCCCATTACGAAGCCCTCGTCGGGACGGTTCACTCGGCCTCACTCGTCGCGAGCGCCAGTTCCCGGGGCCGTGCCAGAGAGTTGTGCGCCGCCCTGTGCGTGGAAGGGTACTGGCGGGTGTTGGGGTTGTCGAGCCGTTTTTCCAACCCAGTTAAATAACGACGACAACAACGACAAAGACAATGATAACAAACACGCGTTCAACAAAAACAACGACAACAAAAACAACAACCCCACGTGTTCCTCACGTCGTCGCTACCGCTCCTAAGGCCGCTTGGCCGCATTGATTTTCTTTTTGTTAAATGGAGTTTTGCCCAGAAGGCGGATTGTTTACAAAGAATACGAATTAAATCGAGACGCAAAAGCCGTGCTTTTTATTTCTTCACCGGTTCTTTGGTGTCAGTCTACGCGGAGCAGCGCAGCTCGATGGTGGCTTTGGTGGTAATCCGATCCGGCCCCGGCGTCTTGGCAGTTGCGAGCGGCAGTCGGGACGATGGGAGCTCGCATTCTGGTTGAGGGTTTACTCGGCGAATAACTCTTCCGGAGAATGATAAAATGAGCACCGCTTTTTGGGGGAAGTCAACAGTGGTTGTCCAGTGGAGACATTCGCTCCCGCCAAAGGAATGTGGAATTTCCGCCCGCTGCAGCGGGAGATTGCGTGGACTTTTTTTCCGTAAACCGTACGTGTTCACAGCTACACGAGAAAACCTTCTCTCAAATCTCGTTTCGACACTCCCCAGCACCTCTGATTAGCACGGTTGGCTTCGTGCGGCGTGGCTCCTCTGGCAGGCGGCCTCTCCCTCGGCCGCGAGAGATGCGGCCTTCCGGCTCGTTGGGCCGATCGCTCGCTCAGGCGCCGACGCCCTTGGCCCCTGGCAGGGCTCCACGCCGGCGGTGGGGAGCGGCGGTAACGGTCGGCGGCGGTGTTTTGACGCTGGGCGCGAGCACGGAGCGAAGGGGCTGAGCCTGGGGAGGTAGCTCCTGAGTCCACAGGCAAACCCCGAGTTGATGTGACGAGTCACTTCTCAGCCACCGTCTCCTGAAAGAAAAAAATACCGTGTCATAATAATAACTCACAGCCCTTTTCCAGTCCACTGCCGGATGAAGGCCTCCCCGAAACTGTGTCGGTCACGAGGGTTGCGTTGGCCGTACTTCACCACGCTGGTGAGTGCGGGTTGAAGGGTGGAGGCTCAGGACTGGTTCAGATATCACCCCGCCGCTGATCTTAGCCGCGGCCGGGAATCTAACTCGTGCTGCTCGCCCTCCTTCAACACCCGTGGCCCGCGTAGTTGAACAACTCCCCCCCTCTCCCCCCTCCCCCCATGACCGACGTGGCATGGGGAGGCGTTCACCCGAGGTGTCGCACCACCCGTGGCCAAGGGCTGGGCACGTGTGCTCCCACCCCTCGCGCTCGAACCTTCACTGCGCAGATCGAACAGGGGATCTGAGAAATCGCGGCCGTGCACGTCCGAATCGATTTTTGGCGGTGGCCGCCGCCGCTGCGACAGGCTTAGCCCCGTCGTCACGTTCTTTTGAACGGTTTGGATTAAGGTTGCCGCGCCCGTGCTGGTTCTCTCGCTCGTGCACCGAGGGTTTTTACCTGTGGAATTGATAGAGTGTGGGTGGGGGGGCAGTTCCATCGGCAGGCTGAGAGAGAGACTAATATTGGCGTAGGCCTTGTAACGTGAGCCTCGCACTGCGCCCGGAGGAGGCTTCTCAGCTGTTGGTCCCAGCATCTACTTATAAGCGAGCAAAATTCTTTATATACGATGTTTATTTAACCAGGTGAGACCCACTGAGCTATATAATATCCCTTTTATTTCAGAAGCGACCTGGCTATTGCAAATTATTGATGAACGAAAATGTGTCTCATCACGTGGAAATTTATAGCAGCCAAACGCCCTCTAAACGCACGATGCTTCTGAATGTGGTGGGAACAAACCGGAGGACCCGGAGAAAAATCCACGCCACCACGAGGAGAGAGAGAGAGAGAGACACGCAAACTCCAGTCGTCAGGGTCGGGACCGAACCCACAACCTCCTGTATACCAGGCGAGGTAGTTAACACCTCTTAGCCACCGAGGCGCCCCAAGCACCTCTGGGGTTGAGCAGCTGCTGCAGTCCGCTTTTGTTGACGTGGGTTCCGTCCGCCTCTCGCAATTCCCTCCTGCGGCTTTGCTCAAGATAACAAACAAGGACGTCGTTAGTTCTACGGAACAATCTCCGTTCAACGGCAACAACAACAACAGTGAAAACGATAGCGCCAACGATAGCATCAGCGATGAGGTGACAGTGGTGGATTTTATTTGAACGCGGAATTCGTATGTGCCAAACGAGCCGTGTGCACGGGGGGGGGGGGGGGGGGGGGGTGGGCACTCGGCACATCTTTTCGCTGGCTGACGTGGAAATCTGGCCCTGGCCTGAAGCCCCCCGTGGAGTGGCGAGTTTGAGAGCTCCGGGCCAGAGAGCTGCCAGTTGTCCTTTTGGCACAAACATCCCCCCCACTCCCCGTCTCTCACCCCCCCCCACTCCCCGTCTCTCACCCCCCCCCACTCCCCGTCTCTCACCCACACTCCACTCGCCGCCGCCCCCTCAACGCAGTGCCAAAAACCATCGCCGCACGGTAACAACTCTGCATTTACTGAGTTAGCAGCAGCAACAGTAGCACCAGTGGCCCCGATTGCTACATGGATAAACCCTCACGCGAACTCCGGTCATCCTCGCAGCAGCTTCTGGCTAACCATCGAAGTAAGACGGTCACTGCATCGCGCGCCTTCATACGCGCTTCTGCGGCCGTCTGGAACGCTCTGCCTTCCGGTATTAGGAAGCCACTGGAGCTATCCACTTTTAAATCAGCGAGATTGACAACTCATCTCTTTTAGAACTGCTTTCTGTGTTTAGTTTGTTGTCCTTCCCCTGCACCTCCGATTAGCACGTTTGGCTACGTACGGTGCGAAAGAAGTTCAACGTACTGTACATATATATGCGCAGCAGTTGCCCACAGAGGTGCTCTCAAAAATGTGCAAAAAACCCCCAGCACCTTTCAGGTTCTTAAGACTCTCCCGAGCCGGTGTCGGGTTTCTGTGATCCTCGTTGATAAGGCAGGGTCCGGTTCTCGCCCGCCCGCCCACCCGCCCGCCCGCCCGCTCGCCCGCTCCCTGGCCGTGTCGTGCCATGCCGAGCGCCGGGCTTGAGTCCTCGCTTTTAAGCACGGGCGCGCGGGGAGTTATCACCAGGGAACATCGCCGCGGCTTCCCGGGGACGCGCAGTCGTAACCCGACACACACACACACGCGCGCAAGCAGGGCCCGCTCGGCGCACGCTGATGGACGCGTTCACAAAGCGACATCGCACAGAACACAAAA